TCAGAAAGAGCTTCCTTGTTAAGAACACTCAACCAGCTTTGTCACAAATGACAGCCTGTACTTAGAGACGCTACAGAGCATGTACACGTGTAACACTTTTAAGCACTGGACTGCAGGGAAATGCACGTCCACAAATTCCCTAAAGCCAAGATAAATCTGGTAATGACAACGTGGAAGCTCGCTGCTGCAGTGTGGTCATGCTGCGCTTCAGCAGAGCCATCTTGACTGGACAAAGCTGACCTTTCCACATTTTGCTGAGTTCATATGAAAAAGGGCGATCCATTTTTGGGTTTGTGAAAGATTTGAACTCTGGCTTACTTGTGTTGGGAGCAGTCAGTGTTGTTTAACAGTGTTGAGCCTGCTTTTGTAGTAGGCTGTTTGTTCTGGTGTGTGACACTTTCCAACATGAACAAGAGAAAACCAGCCAAACCTCTCTTTAAGTTTTAACAATGAGTCCTTTTCTGGTTTATATTACCATCAGATGATCAAGGGGAAAAAACGATACTCAAATCTTCCGTACAAAATAAATTAAAACTTATGAAAATGACCTCAAATCTTACAAGACAAATATAGCTCTTGATACACTTGTTGTTTTGTTTTTTGTGTCAAGGCATGATTGTTTGCTATTTTCTTGTGTCCGTTTTGTGTAATTGTAAACCTGTACAGTGTACATGTTTCTCACTTGGGAAATACAACAGGCTTTACTACCCAGACCCTGTTGGCTCTGAGAGGATATACATAGTGCTGACCTCACCTGTCCTGTTCAACCACATATTGCATTATTAGGTAAAGTGTCATTGAGGGACATACAACTTGAGACAAAACAAAAGAAGGGTGTGGGATCCTCTAACACTCCTGGAGAGAATCAAAGCTACTCATTGGCAAAGTTGTCTAACAGGTCAACTCCCATGAGACGTACAATTACTTGTTCTTGCCTTACTAACGTCAACTGTTGCTGGAGAAAAGCTGGACCAACAAGTAATAAAGTTACAACAGACAGAGTATCTTATTGGTTTGAGATTAATAACAACTGAAATGTATGACAAGAACACAGCGCACTCCAGTCCTGAACTGCACCCGAGGCATAAATGATGAGAACAGCGAGGCACATGAAACCAATCTCTATCCTATCTGCACACTCTTTCCTCTAACTGAGGCCGTTATCCTCTCCTTCCTTCTGTCCCCCAGCGTGAGGATATTGCAGGCTTCCTGACACACATCCTCTCTCTTCCTCTCCTGTTCATCTTCTTCACAATAACCAGAGAACTGTGTGTGCCTGCTGACACACACTGAACTCAGGCCAATATTAGAGAACAGCCCTCAAGTCCGATAAAGTCAATAACAAACAAAGAAAAAGTGTTGTGGGTTCGATCCCAGCCCGTGCAGCCAACATGTCGATGTATCCTTGGGCAAGATACTTAACCCTGAGTTGCTCCTGATGGCATGGCCAACGGTGTGTGAATGTGTGTGAATGTTAGGTCCTAGAGCAAGTGGTACTGCTCTGTATGAATGGGTGTGAATGGGTGAATGACATGTAGTATGTAAAGCGCTTTGAGGGGTTGTAAAGACTGGATAAAGCGCTATATAAGTACAGTCCATTTACCATATCACAACTGGCTACTGAATTGACTTGCATTATCTGTATTTATTAAATGGTAGTAACAACTGAAAGGTTACATATGCCATCATAATTCCTAGCGGTGCAATACACCAACAACAAGATAAACAAAAGTGTTCCTGTAGCAGAACCACTTTAGTAAATAAGGGAAGACTTCAGCATGATCTGAAGCACTTCATAGCATAAAAGCTTAAAGAATCTCAAGAAGCAGCCTAAGCTCAGAATGTAAATATGAGACACATGTTTATATCCTTTAAGTTTCACCATAGCATTAGTTCAGTTATAAGGAAAGTAGCAGTCTAATCGCACATAATTGAAACATGAGGACGAGAATTGGGTTTCAAATTCCGATTATTGATCCTCTATCGAGACATAATTTTTCTAGAGAGTATTGCAATGCATGAATCCCTTTTCCTATACATTTGTCTCCCCTTCCATTTAAATCATCTACTAGCTACTACTGACGTTATTGTGCTGATTAAAAGTGTGTCTATGCAAATCACTTACAGAATGTTGCCTTAACTAGATCCTCCCCCTTAAGCGCTGTCTGCCAGGAATGTACTTCTAAAACCAGCCCGTCCTGATCAGTGTGTTGTTGGTGTTCCCTGACGATTACGATACAGGCTGGGCTATAGGGAAATTGGCATCACATCATCTAAAAGTCAGCATCCACTGCCAATCATTCTCTCCATACCGTAGGAGTCATGTGTCGAATCAGTTCAGCTGTCTGGACCACTTAGGACACACAAAGACAAACCTGTGCCTCTCTCTCCACAAGCCCACACACATGTATGACAGATACTCACGTGATGTTGTGCAGTTGACCCACTGGCACTCACTGCTATTGCTACTGCTTCCACACAGAGCACAGGACAGGGAGGGACAGTCATCTGAAAAGAAGAAGTCACAAATCAAATATAGTTGAGGTATATTTTAATAAGTTCCTGCAGGTGATGAAAATGATACTGTTGCTATCCAGATGTCTCACTCACAATAACAATGCACATTTTAGCACAGACACACAGCATGGTTTTACATTGTTATTAATCTGTCTGCATTTCACATATTTATGTATTACAACAATAAGAAGTATTTTATCCGTACAGTATTTTTACATTCTTAATCTTAGTCTATTTGACATATTTATATTTTACTTCCCACACATTTACCTGTAGCCTATATTGGTCACTATTTGTACATTTACATATATTTCTGTTCGGTTCTTCTTGCACTATTTTGTATTGTTTATGTCTTATATTTATGTTGCATTGGTGAAGGAGCCTGGGACTTGACATTTCCATTGCCATAACTACACTGTAGCTACTGTGCATATTAAAATAATACCTTTTAATCTTAAATGTAATGTTTGAATTTTAAAAAGTGACAGAATAGAGATTCAAAATGTTACATAACAAGCTGATCTGGCGAAGATCTGCTATGGCTCCTCTTGTCATGCACATCATGTGAGAAATATTACTGTAACATAATTTTACATTTAATTTCGGGTCTATAGCTTGCTAGCAGGCTAAAGCGTTAGCTGGACAACTTGAGCGTAGACATTATACTGTCAAGTTGCCAAAAGGATCATTTTGTAAATTTAATTTTAGAAAGAAAATAAAGAAAGTACGGGAGACAGCTGTCAAACTCAGAGCTGAAACATCCAATAGTGCACTGTAATAACCAGAAATGGAGGCATGCAGACAGATCAAATCAGTTTTCTGGTGCTTGTCTTCATCGAGCTGGTTAGCCTTTTAGCTCAAACTTACCTGCGGCTGCTGCGCCAATCAGAGCCACGACTACAGTGAAAAACACCACCTTCAGGTACATGACTGCGGCCGGTTTAATCCTCTTTATACTCCGAGAAGATACAAATGTGTGCTGAAAAACGTTGAGAATGAGACTTCAGCGATTTCACAGCTTCCTTGCCGTCTTCTTGCGTTTCTGGTCGCTACTGCTGTTGCTTGCTGCTCGCTGCCTCGCTACTTCCTACTTGACAGGTCATGTGGCATTGTTGGCTGGGAGGAGTGATACAAAAAACGAGCGTATGTGAAGAACTACGTCAAAGGCAAGAAGGAGAGGAGTTTCTTATCATTAAGCAAACAGCTGTCACTCTGTTTAGGCAGTGGTGGAAAAAGTGTTACGATTATTTACTTGAGTAAAAGTACTAAAACCACACTGTGTAGGCCTATATACTCAATTCTAGGTAAAAGTACTGCATCAAGAATGGTACTTATGAACTATTTAAGTATGTTTAAGATAATGTACTAAAAGTATTAGGAGTGAAAGAACTCATTGCAATATTTAAATATGTTTGAATATTTAAAAGCAGAAGTTATAATATAATAAACAAAGAAAACCCCCAATCAAATCAAGTTGTATTTATATAGCACATTTATAAACGATTTTTGGTCGAGCCAAAGTGCTACATAAAATAAAAATAGCCTACAGTAGAGACACTTTACAGCAAATACAACAGCACAGATTGTTCAGAATATCAGTATGAGAAAAACGACACCCTCTATCCTTAGACCCTCACATCGTACAAGGAAAAACTTCCAGAGAAAACCCACAGTTTAAGGGGGAAAAATGGGAGAAACCTCAGGGAGAGCAACAGAGGAGGGATCCCTCTCCCAGGACGGACAGACGTGCAATAGATGCCGTGTGTAAATAAAAGAGATAATACATTTTACAGCATATAGACCGAATGTAATATATCATTATCAATATATTATCAATAAATCATACATCAGCAATCCCATCTCTGACATTCCTGGCTCCTACACATGCACACTACTGAGTTTTAGGTAGAAGCAAAACCTTTAATAGCAACACGATTTTTGACACATTTATATCTGACTCTTGAGGGCTCTGAAATGAAGTGTACTTCTTGCGCCAAATCATCGATCAAAATCAATCAAAGTTTATTTACGCTTTACAGTTTAAACAGACAAAGAAATGAATACATGTAAGTGGAAATACATGTATAAATACATTAAAGATATATAGTGTGTTTTTTTATTTATACATTTATTTATTTCAATATTTATTAATTTTTTCTTGTATTTTTTTATTCCTGTATTTATTCCTGTTTTTATTCCTGTATTTATTCCTGTATTTATTCCTGTATTTAGTCCTGTATTTAGTCCTGTATTTATTCTTGTATTTATTCCTGTATTTATTCCTGTATTTAGTCCTGTTTTTATTCCTGTATTTATTCCTGTATTTATTCCTGTATTTAGTCCTGTATTTAGTCCTGTATTTATTCTTGTATTTATTCCTGTATTTATTCCTGTATTTAGTCCTGTATGTATTCCTGTATTTAGTCCTGTATTTATTCCTGTTTTTATTCCTGTATTTATTCCTGTATTTATTCCTGTTTTTATTCCTGTATTTATGCTTTTTTTTATTTTTTTACTTATGTCATGTTCTGTCCTCCATACCTGTGCTAGTTGTGTGCATAAAAGTACAAATCACACGACTGCAAGATCTATAGTTGGGCATTTTAAAAACACATTGATGGTCCAGGTCTATGCATTGGTTTTTCATGCAGGTGCTCGAGGTTCAACACCCAGGGGAGGGACATATTTTGTCTTCTGCAATGCTGATGTTAAATCTGGAGAAATTGTCCCCACCACTTTTTCTGACAAAGTGACGCCTATGCCTGAATATAATGTTCGATGATTTAATCTATACTAAATAATCATATTTAAATCATAAGTCGCATGTTACATGTATCTCAGGTTTGTTTATTTTATTCCATGAATAACATTGATAAAACATTTAAGCACTTGACTTAAAACTTAAACACTCCACAGTCTGTAACTTTACATTCATATTTGGGTCTTTCATTGCAGGTCACAGCTTCTTCTAATCTCCTCAGGATGTCGACACCCTCAACCACGTGACTAGAATAGAAAACCAAGACATTAGGCTCCAACTAATCAGAATTGAGATTATGCAGGATTGAGAAATAAAATAGGTGTAATACAAACCCAAAGGCAACATAGGTCCTGTCCATCCAGGGTGTTGGCTGCAGGGTGATGTAGAACTGGGATCCATTGCTGTGGGGACCCTTATTGGCCATTCCTAGAGTGCCACGTTTAGTATGGGACACAGCAAAGCTCTCGTCTAAATGGAGAAGATGACACATGTTCAGCTGAGTTTTCATACAGTACAAGTAAATCCACTAACACACACACATTCATTGTAAGACCGTAAGTGTTTTTACCTTCAAACGCTGGTCCATAGATTGACTCCCCTCCATCACCTTTCCTCACTGGATTAATATCTACGTGATACATCAAGATACAGCTTGCTCTATGTGAATAGACCAAAGACATTTGTACAAAAAACACTTCCTCAATTTCACATGATTTCCTAACAACATCAGGTGCTGGTATTGTGTAAGCAAGGGCTGGGCTATGTAATGAGTATTGAAGGAAGTTACAGGAGTTCAAAGATAATTTCACTTCCAGTAAATAGAATCAGATAAGTTTAAAAATCATGTGACCCAAATATAATAAAGCCTTTTCAAGCTGAACAAAATAATCATTATGAACATGAACACAATCCAGGAAGTTCAATTCCAGTTCAAGTACTAATCATTTATTGATATATTTTCCATTTCAAGTGGCATGTATGTCAAATTAACTGCCCTGATATTGAAGTTGGATGGATTATTATGTATTTCTATTTGACTTGTTATTATACCCTCATATATGTGAAAGGTGTAGCTTATAAATAGCTATTATAATGTTGTATTTTTAATTGTCTGGTTTTTATCCTGTTTCAATATTTTGTAACTGCTTTTTTCCTTTGCTTTTTCACTCTAAAGCTACTGTAAGAACAGAATTTCCTGGTGTGACATCATACAGTTATTTCCAATCTTATCGTATCTTATTTAAAATTGTGACATTGATAATGTGGACCATACCTCCACCTTGCACCCAGCCGTTTGGCACCACACGATGAAACAGGGAACCCTTGTAGCAAAGTGGGAGGCCACTTACTGATCCGCCTCGCTCTCCTGTGCACAGAGCCTCGAAGTTCTTTGATGTCTTTGGACAAATATCTGAGAACAGCTGAGGATAGGGAGGACAATGCACCTCGTAAAACATGCTGCCATTCTGTGATGTCATTTAGTTTTGTATACCAACCATTTAAAGAATATTACAATATACAAAAGTCAGGGATTTAAGATGACACAGGCGTTTTGTATAAGCACTGTGAAACAACATACATGTTTGCCTCACCTCAAACAATAACCTCCCTACTGCCTCTCCTGCTATCTCAATTTCCATGAAGACAAACTGATGCTATAATCAAAAGAAAGAGAGATGTATTATTTTCATTTAGATGATTTAAGGTTGAACAAATATAATTAATACATGATTTGGACAGGGCACTCTTCATTAATAAGAGCAGCTAATGACTATAACTGAAGCCTAATGGTTTTCAAAGATGACTTCATGTACACATAACATCACTTTTCATAAATGGTCCTATAACCTATATAAATATATGTTTTTGTGACTGTGTTTTTGACTTGCCCCAGTGTTTCGAAGGTGTTTGTTGTAGTAGTCCTCAGTGAGAGCCATATAGAAAGCCTGTGGCCGAGTGAAAGAAAAATTCCATTCATTCTTGGCCCAGCGGGTGAGGTCCTTCTCATTACCCAGGAGAAGGCCGTCCAGAAAGCACATCAGGCTGCTGGAGTACTGCCACACGTCACCACGCAGCTCCTTGAATCACAAGTGTTAAACAACAGATGTGTGGTTGTGAATCAGCTTTTCAGAAAAGCCATGACGTCAAACTACAGCAGTTGTGTGTTGTGTGTATTTAGCTGTGGCATCACAACCCTCAGCAAGCTGCTGCAGCTCATCTACAACAATGGTGGAAGATAACATGTATATTTACCCAAGTGCTGTACAATAATAATTAATGATTTTAGGTTACATTACACTTTTACTATCATTGTAGAGCATTGTTCTACTTTTCTGTTAATTTGATTAATTTGCATTTCAAACGTATAAACAGAGGACTTACCCTTTTCTTTTGACACAGATATGTGTGCCAGTCTATTTCAAGGAGTGATTTAATTTTCGGATCCAGAAACTTCTCAGGAAACTTCTGTTTTAGTCCCTGTTGTTCATAGTCAAAGGATAAGAGTGTAAAATTGAGGGAAAACACATGTTACATAAAACTGTAAGAAATAAAATGCTTTACCTCGACAATACTTTTGGCAACATGGAAACTGCGATCTTTAATCAAGCCAACAATTTCTATGTGTAGTTTAGAGTCCATGGTTTAAAATAAAAACAGTCAAAAAAATCCTGAGCCTGGCCTGTAAACAAAAGCCTCGTATCCATAGCAACAAGCGCTTGAATATGACGTTTGTGTTGAACAAGTAAGGCGTTGTTCGACTTCGTGAGACTGTTCCTTTTCTTTCCACCTTGTTTTCTAAATAATCATGTTAATTGAAACAATAAATGACATACGTATTAAATAAAACGCCTGCTGATGACATGTATTTAATTTAACCGTCAAATGTACTTTTTTCCCCACTTCGTGACAATTAAAGAAGCAACAAAGTAGCGTCATATAGCGATGTTCAACAGTTTGGGACGCAGCCCAACGGCGCCAAGGTTTGAAAATTCCGGGTCTTTGTGGTCGTTTGTTGTGTGGTTTAACATTTACGTGTTCTACTTATATCTTACTCTTAAATCAGCTATAAACGTATGCGTTGGTAGTTATGGGTGTTCACGAATTATGGTCCATCGTCGAGCCGGTCCGTGAGTCTGTGCCTCTGTACAGTTTGAGCGGAAAAACGCTGGCTGTTGACCTGAGTTTATGGGTGTGCGAGGCCCAGCATGTGCAAGCGATGATGGGGAGAGTTACCAAACCCCACCTGAGGTAAGTGTCACATATATGTGGATTACAGGGGCTCAAAGTGTCAGGACCCCCCCCTCTGGCTTTTGCCTACAAAATGTCACTCAACGTACCAACCAGGAAGAGACTCAAAATGACCACAACGACTAAAAAAAACGACAACAAAGTGTAGTATAGTGCCGCGCACATATATGATGGTTACTGATGTCGGTGCGGAGTGATATGCAGTTCGTGTTGATGCTGACCATGGATGTATAAGACTCCTTGAGGCATGCACTTATTATTACCATGGCTGGATGTGCATTAAGTCAATAGCAGTAGTTTCATCTGAAGTTAAAGCACAGAACGGATCCTTCATTACTCTCCTAGTCACCCGGTCAGTTACCGAACATATACGGCTATTACACAAAGAGGCACCAACAAAAACGCTACAAAGAGGTGCAAAACAGTGACATAAAACCACTTCAAGGAACACACAACAACATTTATCTCCTTTGTTGTTTAATCTGTACATGGATGATCTGTCGAGGAAACTGAACTTGTGTAAAACTGGCTGTGTCATCGGTGCTACTGTTGTCAACCACCTTATGTACGCAGATGATTTAATCATCTTTTCCCCGTGCAGTGCAGGCTTACAACAGCTTCTGAGGACTTGTTCCCAGTATGGCATTGATTTTAATATTAAGTATAACGCCAAGAAGAGTAACATCATGATTGTGCGAAGTAAAGAGGATAAAAAGGCTGTATTTCCTCATTTTATTCTCAGTAGCAACATTCTTCTTGTGTGCAGTGAGATCAAGTACCTTGGTCATTATATTTCTGATGATCTCACAGATGACAAAGACATCCATAGACAACGCTGCAAACTGTATGCCCAGGCAAACATATTAATGCGTAAGTTTCACAAGTGCTCTGTAGATGTCAAGGTATCACTTTTCAAAGCTTTCTGTACACCATTGTACACGGCTCACCTGTGGAGTAACTACAAGGCTCACCTGTGGAGTAACTACAAGGCTAGAAGCATACACAAACTAAAAGTCGCATACAATGATGCTTTACGGTTGCTGCTGAGGGTACCAAGATGGCACAGTGCCAGCCAGCTGTTTGTTAACTTGGGGGTACCTACCTGTCAAGCCCTTTTTAAGAAAATTAATGTACAAATTCATGTGTCGCCTAGTAGACTCGGACAATTATGTTATTTCGATTTTAATTAACCCTGTGAAGAGTTCTACCCGGTTCTTTTCCATGATTTGGAGACATTGGCGCAATAGCCTCTACAGATGGTGAGCATGTGTGGCTCGCTGTGATTGGACTGATTTTATGTTTTTAATTTATCTGTTTGTTTTTATCTGTTTTGTGTTTAGCTTTTTATCTTATTTATTGATGTGTGTTTTGTCTTTTTGTGTGATATGGACCTTGAGTCTGGAATAAAGATTGGAAATTAAAAACACAGCCAAGTATCTATCAAGGCTGTGTGACTGGCTACCACCAGCTAACCAGTTAGTTCTAGTTTAAATTCTTATAACGTTAGCTTTAATTCTTATATTTAAAAACCTATTTTTTTGTCTCTTCTTCTATGTCCAGGAATTTATTTTTCAGGGTGTCATCTCTCATGCTTATGGGGGTAAAGCTTGTCTTTGTGATGGAAGGAGAAGCCCCTAAAATCAAAGCAGAAACGATGAGCAAGAGGACAGAACAGAGATTTGGAGGATTGAAAAAGGCTTCTGCCCCTAAGACTACATCTAACACCAGCAGAGGGCGCTTTAATGCTGTACTCAGAGAGGTTGGTTGTTCCTCCACTCACATGCATCTTAATCATAATCACTTTTGATAAATAATTGTAGTTTATATGTGATTTTATCATTCTCTAACACTTGCAGTGTGCAGCCATGTTGGACTATTTGGGTGTGCCCTGGGTGACGGCTGCAGGCGAGGCTGAGGCCATGTGTGCCTACCTGGACTCAGAGGGCCTGGTGGACGGCTGCATCACTAATGATGGAGACGCCTTCTTGTATGGAGCCCGGACTGTCTACAGGAACTTTAATTTGAACAGTAAAGTATGTTTGTTAAAGTTAATCTCCATCAACTGCATTGTGTTACATCTGGAGGACCATAACCTCATACTTACTTACATTTTAATTGTACACAGCTACTTTGCAAAGGATATTGAAGCTGTTGTTCGAAGGTTAAATTGTTACATAATGTTGTGGTTACTTGTTGAATTCATTAAGCATTTAAACATTAATCAGTATTGAAATTGACTTTTGCTGCAGACCTACAACTTGTATTTTAACTAGCCAGTATTTTTGCGATTTTGCTTCCCATGTATCAATACTGTATTGTACTCTAATGATGCAATGATGCCCTTCCAGGACCCTCAGGTGGACTGTTACAAGACCTCCAGAGTACACACAGACTTAAATATCTCCAGAGAGAATCTAGTTGGTCTGGCCGTCTTTCTTGGCTGCGATTATATTCCTAAGGTAGGGAGAACATGTTACTGTAAATTTCCACTATCAAAATCACCAATCTGAAGATATGTTCACTAAACATTGTCATTGTTCATAAAGGGCATACCAGGTGTTGGAAGAGAGCAATCACTGAAGCTTATCCAGATGCTGAAAGGACAAACTATTCTGCAGAGGTGGGAAACACAGATTATTAAAAGCTCATATTTTTATATCACAGTGATAGTGCCCAACTGTACAAGATGCAGTCACAAATCTTACTGGTGTGATGTTGAGATCTAAATAAAAGCTTAGTTTAAAAATGAATGTGGTCTGAGCAAGGGCACAGGAAGAAGAGTGTAGGAATTAAGAAATGGACCCACCCTACCCTGGCCCAATTTGGCATGACAGCTGTTGTATCTAGTTTTCTGACTTTTGATTGCAGATAAGCATTCTTATCCTTACTGATAACCTTTCTCTGATCTCCCCCAGGTTCACCCAGTGGAAGGAGGACAATGTGGGTGTGTCGGAGGGAGTTTTAAAGAAGGTTCCCCACTGCCAACTCTGTCGACATCCTGGTGAGTGGTGCCCCGCTTTGAACTCTGACCCCAGTTTGCGATGCTGATAAGAGGCGGAAAGATCAGGGGGGGTTGTCCCTGACAGGACATGTCTCACACATTAAAAGCCATTTAACCTGTGTTAAAACATACACGTATGTGAGAGACGGGTTGCTCTGAATATGCTTTTGACTTTACAGAAGTTGTAGTAGTGTGTTAGATGTTCAAGTTGTTGTCGTCTTCTCCTACTTTTGTATTTGATCAAGTTTGAATTCAGATGTATCTCCCTTTTCCAGGCTCAGCGAAGGCACATGAACGTAAAGGCTGTGTGCTTTGTGATAGTAAACATTTCTGTCAGCCTCAGGACTTTGACTACCAGTGTCCCTGTGACTGGCACCGCTTCGAAGAGACCCGGCAGGCCGTGTCTCTTGAGGCAAACATCAGGAAGTATGTGACTCTTTTTTTTTAAAGAATTGAATGCAGGACAGTGGATCCCATTTACTAAAATGAAGATCAAGACTAGCAGCTTTTTAGTCAATAACCATCCTTAATCTTAGGATGTGGAATAGCTCTTAATGCTCCAAAAGCATTGATTAGTTATAATTTGTTTATCATCAGAAATATAATCGGCAAGCATTTAGCTATATTCCTATTTATCAAGAAGTCAAAATGGCAAAAGATATGTGTTTGCAGAAACTAAAAAATGTATATTTTGTTATTATTTAATGAGAGTGAGCTTTATCTCTTGGGTTTTGGTTGGACAAAACAAGACTCCCACTTTGGAAAGTTGTAATGGGTGTTTTTTAAAGAATGATTTGCTTCCATGTTGTGTGTAATCTTTTCATTTTGTATTTTATTTCTTTTTTAGGAAAACACTGGCAAACCAACTGTTCCCTTTTACAGAGGTACAGCCATTTTTCACAGTAGTATCATAATTAACAGTATATGTTTGGCTTTTAATACTTGAATAACATTTTGCAGATCATTAAAGAGTTCCTGATTTCCAAGGACAAGCCTGTGTCACAGTTCAAGAGGAGACAGCCAAACCTGATGCTGATACAGGTTGGTTTTAATAACGCGTTAACATTTGTATCTCTTTTAAGTGAGTTGCATGTTTAAGTGAGTTTTTTTCTCCAGAAATTTGCCTATGACAAGATGGAGTGGCCAAAGCACTACACCAGTGAAAAGGCGTTAGTCTTGATGACCTACTCAGAGTTGATGAACAGAACATATGGAAGAGAAATGTCTTCCCAAATCAAGCCCCTCAGGTAGACCTACGTTCAATTTCAATTTATTTAACAAAAACAAATATGTAGCTTTAGTGGCATTGTCATAATAAAAGGTTATTCAGCACATGCATAATCCACAACTTCTTTTTTATACAACAGAATTTTGAAACCAAGGGTGAGGAATGCCGTCGCTTGCTTTGAGATCATCTGGAGAACACCAGGTGAGTTATATTCTTATTCCTTTCATGCTTTCATTTGTTATATTAGAAATGTGAGAAGAAAAGCGACATCTAGTTAAGAAAACATCCTCTGGGCTGAGTGACGGGACTGCTGCAGCGCGAGGTGGAGGTTGGGCAGCGAGGGGCTCGTCCCCGGTCGGGTTCAGAGGTGGCAGATCACTCACAAGGCTACGAGGTGCTAAACGGGCTTCCTCCCCAGGCTAGGAAATGTGTCCTATCAAAGTCCACTTCACTAACAAGACCAGCCTAAGACACTCGCAATATATTCATTCAGAATGTGGTTTCCTCTGCCATTTAAAATAAGTATTTATCAGAAAACCGATAAGTATATTATGCGTATAAATACCATAAATCGCTAGATATTCTAAATTAGACCTATCTGAAATCATTGATTTAAAAAGTGACTTGCAGTTAAATGACTGTTGGGGTGAACTGCAGTCCGCTGGTTCAATATCCTCGCTTATCCTGTCATGTAGCTGAATTGGGGGGGAAATGTAGGTTTATTTGTGATGCATATAAATTTAGAGAACATTTTATCTAAAAAGTAAAATAAATAATAATATCACTGCACTAATACACATAATTCTATCACTTATATATTAAGTGTTTCTTATATGTTGCAAAATCCCTCAAGTAATATTGTTGCCATTTATATAAAAACATGTGGCTGTATTTGCTATACTGTATTAAAAAACTCTTGTATACCCATTATCTTACCTTTACCTGAACCTTTATTAACCTTTTTCTAACATTCAAGTAAATGGAATATTAGTTAAAATGTTAGTTTTTGTCCTGCTGGTTTTGTTTGGTTTGTTGACATTTGAGGATTTCACTTTTTGACTAGCAAGATTAGTCTTATTGAGAGCTATTTGGACCTGACCTTGTTTTTTTCTTCTGCAGAACATTACGTGTTTCCTGAGGATCGTCCTGCGGAGGATCAGCACGAGGTGAGGACGGTGGAGGAAGAGTCTCTCTTCCGTGTGGCCTTCCCAGAGGTGGTGGAGAGCTACCTGAGAGACAAAGCTCTGGCTGAAGAAAACAAGACCAAGAGTAAGGGAATCATTTATAATATCCACCCACCATTTCAGAAAAATACGTTTTCCTGTGAATTCTTTCCTACAATAACCATATCTGACAGTTAGTGTAGTTAAACTTTTCATGAGAAAGTAGGGAGCCCCCCCACAGACTTGACAAGCTCCTGATCAAAGACACCTGGGGCTTCCACTTGTTTTGAAAGTCTATTGCAGCAGCTCTGACACCTGAAGAGTTTGGCAGCTCACCAGTTCACACCAGAGGCTTTGATGCAGCCAGAGGTGTCTGTCTCACAGGCTGCGCTGTCACTTTATGCTGGTTATACTGTGCCCCCCCCCCCCCCCTCCTAGGCCTAACTGCTGCAGAGCTTCACTTCCTAATATGTAGGAAAACTATCCGCTGATATTCAAAGAGCTTTCTGTCAATACATCCAGAGTGAATATGTTTACAGCAAGGTTATAAAAGTTCTGAATGTTCAACTAGTTTTATTTTATTTTGGAATCATTTGTGTTTTCAGAGTATGTTTGCTAGTTTTTGTTTAACTTTTTGTATTTAGTTTTTGTTTGTTTTTGTAGGGACTGGTATACTGTCTTATAAGTATAAAGCTTCATATAGATACACCATCATTTCTTTAATTTTTTTAATTTGGAACACGAGTTATTTTACTACCACTGTCAGAAAAACCCACCAACAATTTCATCCTGACATTGTTGGTTAACATCAGAACTGATTTTGAATAGCTTGGTTAAAAGTTACCTAATACATTACTTAAATCATGTTCTTGTTATTTCTACAAGTCTATACACTTTTTTAGATTTCTTTTCAGCTTACGTTTATAATAATAATATCCCTGGTTCACAGTAGACACTAACTAATTCTAAATGCAATTTGAAATCCTTCAGTCGTATAACATTGACATCTGGTCTCAATCTTCTTCTGCAGAGAAAAAACCAAAGAGTAAAAAGGAGAAGCCATCTGATGTTTCTGATGGTATTTCTGACCTCTTGGCTCAGATGACCATCCAGACTTCCTCCAACACCGAACCACAAAAGCTGCCCGCTTCAAACCCAGATGACCTAGAAGTGGTGGTTTTGGACACTCCAGTGAAGCATATACAGCATCAGAAGTCAAAAGGGGAGCACAGCAGTTTGGGCCATTGCCCCAAAACTCCTCTGTCTCGTGCAGGAAGTGAAGCTACTGCTTCTCCATCCGTCTCTGATGCTATCGACGCGCTACACCTGAGTGATATAGACTGGGAGGCTTTGTCTTTCACGTCTTCTCCAACTCCACAATCTACTATTAACCACACCACTGAGCCCAAACTGAGGGAAACCACAGACAGTGATGTTATTGATGAAAAAATTGAGCTGAAAATCTCAAATGACGTCGTAAGAGCAGACTCCAGATCTGAGGTGTGCTTCACAGAGTGTCCTTTGAGGGACAGGCTGCTCATGAAGAACACAGCAAGAGCTATGGACCTGAAGGAGAAACACAATGATGAGATCTCAAAACAGCTTAACTATGAGTTGGTCTCTCTCAAAAAAACGTCTTCTCATAACTCACACTCAAAACCAAATGGACAGATCCCCGATAAAAGTAGCAGTGGCATTGCATTGTTAGGGAAAGAATCTGCTGTAAACAAAAAGGAACCACTCACTGAACAAAAGCAGAGTGCAACAAATAAGGCAGAAACTCACGGTTCACAACCGCGGCTGACGCCTATAGTACAAAGTAAGACAAAGGACAACGGTCCCCAAAAGCCTCCTCAGAAATATAAATTTGTCCGGAAAGCCATTTCATCATCCACACTCGCCCCACAGAGGTGTAACTCTGACCCCGTTCAGAGTGACAGGAACGCATTGCACAGCACCAAGAAGAGTGTGTGCATGAGTGTGTGTTCGTCCAGCGAGGAAAGTGATGCAGAGAACAAGCAGACAGGACCACAAAGAAAAGCTTACAGCAAGCACACGAACAAGATGAAGGGCAACTTCCTGTCTGCCATCCCACTGAAACCTAAAACAACCAAACCGACAGCTAAAGCAGCTCCTACCATTGTTCAGTCTTTACAGCCAAAAGCTCAGAGCTGCAGTGCAGACATTGAATTAAAAAGCAGACCTGTAGCTACTCAAAGCAAATCTCCAGATGTCCCACCAGCTCACGTTGATGGTGGTGTGTTTCCTCAGACCCCGGGATCACCAGCTGTCGTGTTGGACAGTGATGACTCCATTATTTGTGTTGAGAGTCCACTGCCACTGGCAGAGAGACTGAGACTGAAATTCATGAAGGGAGCAGCACGAATACAGGAGGATGGACATGTAAGATTTTAGGTTTCAAGTTTGAAAAATTAACCTTGGAACCTTTGAATACAACTCTTATGCCCATGTTCTAGCTTTTTACAGAAGAGATGCAAAAATCAGTCAATTGATGGAAAATAATTCAGCAACTCTTTTGATTATCGAAAAAATGGTTATTGATTTTAAAGGCGAATAAATTAAACTTTTGTTAGATCCAAATTCTCAAATATGAGCTTTTCGTTGTCTTAAAAATAATAATACATTGAATATCTATGGATTTCGGACTGTTGAACCGACAGGTCTTTTGATGAAAATTATGTAATTGTGAAGATTTTTTTATGTAATATATGTTGTGAGATTAAAAACGTTGACTGATTATGCCAATGAACAAAGACAATTGTTCACATAAATATTTGTTCCAATTAAGTTTTTGTTGCATCAAAGTTGGCCTTGCTCTTACTTGATCCTGAGAGTAACAGTAAATCAAAAGTAAAAAGGTTTTGGATTAGCACTGCTTTCAGAATGTAATGCCATGTAGCGGCACCACATGTTGGTGGTATTTTCTCCTGCTGCTGTTTGACAAGCTACATGTCACTACGCACAGCTAGAGAGGAGGCACAGAGGACGCTGAGCCATTGGTTTTACAACCTGCCAGTGTCGCTCCCCTTGATCATGAGTGAGGCCTTACACACCTTTTCAGACATGAAAGGTCTGGCAGGAGCTTGGTGACAGCTGCATCCTCTGCCCAAATAACAACTCAGAGCAAGTACTTGGTCTTAAATCCTGTTATTCCTGACAGTTGCTCGGGGAAATTCAGCTTGTGTTCCAATGCAGATCTCATTAGTAAAGTAAAAGTTTGTTCAGATGTGTAATTTGTTTGTGAATAATATTAACAATTGGCACTTTCTGACATTGAAACAGGAAAACTGCCTTTGAAACAATTGACCTTCTCCAGGTGGCAAGTAAATATATGTGCATTAAAAGAAGAAGACTTTATTAATCCCTCACAGGGAACATTTCTTGAGAGAAAAGAAAACAGGATTGATTTGATTTATCTCGAACAAAACGTAATAATAATTAAATGAAACATGAGAATTATGATACTGTATAAACTTAAGCAGTATTAAATTGATAAACAAAAATATTATTGACTTACAAATTATATATAAACAAATGATCTACCTAATTACATATCCGGGGTCTTGATTTATACAAATAACAAAGATGTATCTCCAAAAAAATTATCTGTAAGGCTGTCTTGGTAAGTTAAAAATAGTGTTGTTTTTTTGACTGCTTCACTTCCAGACTGAAGACACACGCAGGCCTGACTTGCCGGAGAGGTGTGAGGCTCTCAGGTGAAACAGCATCCTCTCAATCCTTCATTAGACAAATCACATCAAACTGATAATTGTCGTAGTGAAGACTTTAAAGAGTAATTTCACACACAAGGGAATCTAATTATTGTTCTTTCCATCACATTATCCGTCGATTTAGCCTTATTCACACCCCAGTGATAACGAACCTTCGGGAAGGTCGCATTTTGGCACTTGGGGTTTTCTTTGAACTTTTTTTCGCCTGAGCTGTGAACCCATAAAGCTCCGGAGATCTGCTTCTATATAAAAACTCCTTGCAGAAAAATCTCCTTCACAGAACCTGTCATTCACCCCTGATGTCATCCTCGCTGCACGACTGTCGGGAAGGATATTTCTAACATGGACATGGATGTTGTCACAGCTAAAATGCTGTCTGAGTGGAAGAGCCATGAGGGTGCGTTTGGAGAAGATCATGACTCACTTCAGTCCACTTCCCCGGAGTCCTCCATAGACTCCATGTGCTCTTCCCCGGAGATGTGCTTCTCCAGCGGCAGTCAGGAGATGAAGGACTGCCCTTACGGATTCCCGGAGCGCAGATCCTCTTCCAAAGCGCAGAGGCAGGGCAAGCCCAAGATGTCCACCAAGAGACGCGTGAAGGCCAGCGAGAGGGAGAAGATGCGGATGAGGAGTCTTGCAGAGGCTCTGCACCACCTCCGGGACTACCTGCCGCCGGACTACAGTCAGACAGGCCAACCCCTGACCAAGATACAGACTCTCAAATACACTATTGAATACATCAACAAGCTTTCAGACATTCTGGGCCGCGCGTAACGGACGCAAATTTACTTTTTACGCATAAGGTTTACTCTGACCTGGACATTTAATGGAGTTAGTTTGATATATTCGATGAGTAACACAACATTTTTAAGTGAACTTTAACATTTGATTTAATTAAATTGCTCTCTTGTTCGCCCTTCTCGTGATGTAAATATTGTTTATTGGGCACTTGACCATTACTTTGTATATGAGGCTGCCTTTGTTGGAGTTGTGAATTAAATGTTTGGGAATATAGTTTGCTGATTGTTATATGTGTATATGTTTTCCCCTTGGTATGAAATGTAGCTTTACTGATGAAGGTGTTCTCCTATTAGGCCCACCTTGTTTGTGTATCGTGTGAGCAGAGAACTTAGTGAAACCTCATCATATTTGTTATATGTTGTTGCTGTTTGTGTTAAAGTTTAAGTAGCTTCATAATAGCCTATATTAAAGTTGTGTCTGAAAGCTATATAATAATTAGTCCTGTTTTTTTGTAACTGACGAGTTAAAAATTCTATTATTTTCCTTACTATACAATATATCAGGCCTGTTAATACACTGTTAAACACATCCATTAGATAAACGATGTGTCAATTCCAGGTTGCATACCCAGACAGGTATTTACCCTAACCCATGTGCCAAGAGACTTAATGAACAATGTGAAATAGCACAACATTGGTTCTGATTGATCTATCTTGCATTTGTAATTAACAGCAGGACCTGACCTTGGCATTTAAAATATATAATTGATATTGATAATCAACTTGTTATGAGTTTATAGATACCACATAGATACCACATACTTGATTGTTGACATGTGACCAAAGATTTAACATAGTAGGACTATCTTAAGAAATACTCACTTTTCAGCAAAACGGTGTAACTTATTTAGAAAACGTTTTGAGATTTGTGCATTGGCAAATAATTTATCAAAAAAAAAATATAGTTTTCGGTCACAAATGGGTACAACTACAATAAATAGCCTATGTTTTGAACTTGGCCCAGTTAATGAATTAATTAACTTCAGGTACAATGTGGTACAATTAGAACATACGTCAGCCAATTCCTCCAATCAGAAGGCCGAAATATCCAAAACAGGCTGACTGAGAGCAACAAGTAGCCAATCAGACACCAGTATTCCTCCAAGTGGGCGTGACCATCCTCATAATGTGTTGTTCCCTATGGTTGTTCCTCACAAATAAATCCAACCTGGGATGAAGTAAAGCCTGACGAAGTCGCCATTTCAAAACGCTAAGAGCCACAGAAGCTGCAGGAAATGTCGTAAATGTTTTTATTTTTCTAATATATATATATATATATATATTTTTACTAGCTACTAGGGAAGTTGGTTTAGTTTTTGAATCTACCTCGCCTGCATCACCAACTGAAGTAAGTCCCATCTCTGTGTTTCACCAAAGCGTTTGAAAACCACAGAAACGCCCCTTTTATTTAACGAATAACGTTTAGGTACAATCTTGTTATTCGGCCTTTTTAGTTGTATTTTATTTCTAAGAAAATAGCTGTGAAAATCTGAGATACCTAGTCGAATATTATGTATAACAAATACACAGTTTTGGACACAGTATAGCCTACTGTGTGTCAGGTCGTCTCTGCGTTGTTTATTCCAGGAATTAGACCATGCCCTTTGCGTTATAATTTAAATTTAACCACATGTGTTCGACATTAGCTCATGTCAGCGCTATATAGGCTCACGCCTATATGGCGCTGGCTCCTGTATGCTGCACAGTATTAAGGAGCATTATTAGAGACTTTAAGTGTATGTGTTGAACAGTGCCCCTCTGATTGTCCTAGCTTAAAATGAAACAGCTCTAACCGTCTCTAGGATCAGGATAACAATGTTTCCATGACGCTCGACGTGCCTGTAGCTCTGCAGGCTTATTTACTTAAAAATAACACTGTGATAGAGTACGTGTGTGTGCCAGCCTGCATGACATAGTTTATGTCTCTAAAGCTTATATGAATTAAAGGCAGTTAATTTGAAGGAATAACTGCTCCACAAGTGTCTATATAGATATGTGTAAATAGATTTCCACATAGATATAGTTGAGGATAGAAGGAGGGACTTCCAACCTCATTGAAATAAATTGGACGAACACAATTAAGTACACCACAATTCAACAACACCATAAACAGCTTACAAAATGAAAAACTGAAAGATTGTATAAGCCAGAGTTTGTGAAAAATAATAAATGATCCAAATGTTAATGTTTTTAGACTTGCAAATACTTCTTTGCTCATGGTGACCTCATCATACCTTTTTATAGAGTTGATTTTAGAATAAGTGTATTTTTAGGGAGTATTGTGCACATGTTAAGCTTTTGTTGTTTGCTGGATCTTCAACCAAAGTATTAAACACACAGGTAGAAAAACAAGTAACAGTTTTTCTGGTTTTTTTCTTCTGGGGCGGTTTCTCCTTCAGGGCATATTTTGAAAGTCACTCCTAAAATGCAAATTCCCCAGATATTTTAAGAGGCAGTTTCCCTGCACAGCAACCTCACGCCTTACTGTACCTTTCCCCTATATTTTTAAAAAGTCTAACCCAACTCCACTGTCTAGAAGCCTCACAGATTTTGTATTTTTTTTATACCAGCGATCTGGGCTTTGGGACTATTAATACTTTTCCCGCTATCAGCTTTGACTATGTCCGTGTTTTACCTAAACACTTGTCACCTGCTTCAGTGTGAGGCATGCACAGCGTGTCACACTCGATGATGGAGCAATGCAGGGAATGCAATACAGAGGTTTTTTATTTCCAAGATCTGCTGAGTGAAGTTTTACAGCCTTGTGTCACAATGTAGGAACACATGCCTTAAAGTATTTTTTGTCAGGGAGAAGTCTTACCAAAAATTATCTCATACAACATTGCAAGAGAGCAAAAGGCAGTAAATGGCTATCGCTTTGTAACACACAAGTATAAAACGTGAATTTGCATTTTGAATGTAGAAATCATTTTCTTGTCTATGGAGGAGTTGGATATGCTTTTTTATATATAAGAACGTTTTTATTAAATCTTATAAGAGTGACAGTGTACTGTATATAAATATTGACTTGCATCATTTCAGATGGACGCAAACACAGAAAATGTGACCGAAACTTCAAGGATTTCCAAGGATGAACCTCAGAAAAACACATTTAGGTAAGTCTCGTGTTTCCTCACAGCCTCATACTGTATTTATGGATACATAATGGTGAACTGTTGCATTACATGATTATGAGAAGCTTTCATTTACCTGAATACTTTCTGATTTTGCCCAATTTGCGGTGATCATAGCAAGACTTGCACACTTGTTGCAGGGTGGCAATTTTTTCCTCAAATTTGTTTTAATCTCCTCAGGGGTTGTGGGTTTAGAAGCCGGGGTTGGATGAGTCGAGGCGGCATGCATGGTGGGCGGGGCATGATAAAAGGGTTTGGTCCACCTGGATACGGGAGAGGTCGAGGGAGAGAAGGAGCCATGAACGGATTTGCACCCATGAGGTACAAACATTGAAATATACTAGGTGGTATTCATTCAGAAAGTTGCTTTTTAAGTTGTGTGGTTATAAATGATGTAAGGGAATCACCTTAATCACCCTAGAGATTTGCTGTATAAAAAAATGCCATGTTATGAATAAGTTGCATTTCCTGTTCTTCCCTCTCAGAGGAATGAGGAGGATGCGTCCTTACCCAGACATGAGAGGTCATCGAGGTAGGGATGGACCAATGGGCATGGGCCCTCCTCCTCCCCCCCCTCCCATGCACCTCAGAGGCCCTTTTCCACCCATGCACAGGTAACCGGCTCACGCACAATCACATTCACAGAGTTGCTTGTCTAAGATTAAAGAACAATCCTCCTGATTCTAAAAACTTGTGACCGAAATGTTTAGTTTTTATAGCTAAGGTATAGTAAGTTATATACATTTGAAACATGATTTTTTTTGGAGCAGTCTATCTTACCTTCTGTTGGTTGTCACTCACCTTTGCTCGTGTGTATCCTTAAATCAGGTTTCCTCTGAATGAAAACATACAACGTTTTTTGTTTTGCTGTCTGTAGGCACGGACCCCGTCCCCCCCCTCCTCCAGGTCACCCTGCTTTCAGAGGGCCTCCTCCACACCCTCGAGGCTGCGGCATGCCCCCCCCTGGACCTCCACGCCACTTTCACCCCCGAGGCCCAAGAGGGTAAGAGCTGTTTTAATATTATAACCACGCTTAAGCTTTGTAAGTCTCAGTTCTCTGCACTTTCCTTGAACACTTTTAAGATTCCTCAAAATAACATCCGGTGAGATTTGAGACAAGCCTACACTAGTTATATTCCTTAATTTTGTGATATGCACAAACGGCGAGGGGTTGTATACAATGTACAGTCCTTTCTGTCTGTTTCCTCTTATACCTCACTATAGCTTTCACTTTAGGGTTTACATTATTCTCTCATAATTACAATTCTCAGTTTGTTTAGCAAAAAAATAGAATAGCCCACAAATCTGTTTTACTACAACAATTTTTCAGACAACATTTTTTGCTTAGTTTGTTAATAATGATTACACCCACTGCAACTATTTGAAGCCTTAAATAGTGCACGAAGTACTGTAAATACATGACATTGAAAGGTACACAGTAACAGAGGGGATCACACCCCTGACTGGATTAGTTCAGATGGCTGCTCTTATCAGAGTGTGCCCTTATTGGCCAAAGCCAAGAATCCAATGTGTGATTTCATCCTTTTACACAGCTACCACAATGGACCAGTCTCTCCTCCTCCTCACCACCCACCTGGCAGAGGCCAGAGGTGGCCAGGGCCCCCTGGTGGCCGACGCTTTTAACACAGCCTGCCCTAAAAACAATAACCAAACACTTGTTAATGCAGAAGGGGCCCACAGTGGTGCAGTAAACGCCCCATGATTATGTGTTACACTAAGTTTCTGAGTATCTTCATGACATACTCTGTGGCCAAATGTCTGCATAATGGTGTTGTCTACTGGCAAATAATTTATGTGAAAATTACTAATAACAACATAAAATGCCTCACAATTTTTACAATGTAAAGGCATTGTATTATCTATGTTACAGAAATACTGTTGGTACTGTAGGAAGTATTTGACATTGTCAAGAAAAAGCTAAACAAGTTTGAAACCCCTGTTCTGAAAGGGAAGAAAACATATTGTTCAAGTTCTTTAAATGTGCTGTGGTTCTTGCCTTAAGAAGCTTTCCTGATCCATAATAAAGAATAAAAAAACAGGGTGCAATGCATATTTGAATATGGGGAAAGTTGGGTGAAAAGGAATTAAAGAGTGCACAGCATCCCTCGAGCACCACTGTAAACTAGCTTAGTACAACTTAGACCTCTTAAACCTTACCTATTGTTACATGGAAATAGTTAAGTATTATAACTTTACTAAGCAGTGTTGTGACTTTTGTTTAACACTTCCACAATTTTCAAGTGAACTGACACTTGTCAAGTATTCATGAGTATTTTATTTTATATTGTATATCATTAATGTGCAGCTATTTTGAGTCACCAGTATTGCTGTTTAAACATTCATGTTTGTCTACAGCAAACTATCTTGTAATGACAAAGTGGAAAAGACATTACAAATTAATAGTATATTGAAAATAGATTTCTAGTTTCTAGTTTTTATAAAGACAATTCCGTTAGTATTTGCTTCATTTAAGGACAAGTTACTCTTGACTGTGTTTTTGAAGTGTTTATAAATACTCTCTTAACTGTAATTTACCTAACTTTTGTGAACCTGTGATTGTGTTTTAATGAAAACCGTCAAGACATGACGTAGTCGTGGAAAAACAAATAAAAATAAAAATAAACCCAACTTCTCTATTTTTTGTTTATTCACAAACAAGTCTGAGAGTTGTCATTATACTTTATCTGTATTGTATGGAAATAATGAATTGCAATGTCAAATCTAGAACTGTATACAGTAACAGTATTTCATATTTGAAAGTGAACACTTTATCCATGTTAAGACCACTGCATAAATGCACACTATTATATACATTTAGGATAAGATTGGACGATCAAGAGCCTTTAACGGAACATTCAGCCTGCAGACAGCTGAAGCTTATTGCAGATATTAAAAGGCTAAAAAATGCATCTTTAAATTGCACTTTTAGTAACTTGAAAGATGACATATGTTACCTTATGAATTTCACCGGAGGACTCAGAACCGCTCAACTTGAGTAATGCCACAGTTCCAATTCAGTGGTTGCATGTCTAAAAGGAGGACATCATCTGCAAAGGATAAACACTCTGATATGGACTCTAATATTTGTGTGCTGCTAGGATAATATATTGACAATAATTGTAAATTGATTTAAAATGGATTTGTCTATTTCATTTAATACTCTTATAATGCATAATGTATCCTACACTCCTGTACATTTTAAATACGTTATTAATAAATATAGAAGTTATAGATTAGGTTATAGCAAAAAGAAGATTATCAAATTAATGATTTACTCTAGAATCAGTGATAAACAGACACCATGAGACTAAACATATTTTTTATTTTGTGAATGCATGTAGCTCCATAGTGTACTGCTATTTTAGCTCTACTGAGTGTATACAGATAAAACAAACCCCAGCTGTGAAGCAGAAGCACAATCCTATGAAGACACATTTCTTATTAATACTGCATGTTGCATTTACTGCCAGTGCAACAAAGGACTTTCCATTTTTTGTGAATGAAAGTGTTTTATTTCCGACGCACTCAGAATACCTCGAGAGGTATTCATCAAAGCCAGTCTCTTTCATAAATGTGTCAAAACAAGTGTTGCACTTTCCTCCTGCTCTTTCTTTCTTGTCTTCAGCACTTTTCGTACTTGTTGCTGCCTCTCCAGTCTTTGCATTCCACTCGTTTCTCCCTTTGGTTAATGATAACAGCCTGACTGTTGTTGTCTCCTGAAGGGGGACACACAGTACAGTTTACCTCCCAGGCCACAGGATCCCAGACCCTCCCTCACATCCGCCCCCCCCCCGAGTCACCGAGTTCGGGAACTTGAAAAGGTGAGTCTCCTCTTGTGTCTTTATCTCTAATCCCCTTGCTCTGATGCCTGGAGATTGTCTTTCAGGAGGGAAGTTGAAACCACTGTGCAACAGTAACAAACTCGGCGGGACCGTGAGGAATATTGAATAAAGATTGTGGTATTTCATTTTTTAATAAATGAATACAAACAATACATTTTGGATTTACCAACTTACATGTAAGTATATCTGTACCGTGAAATGTTAACAAGAACAGGCAGTAAGCACACCTTCAGGTAATGTATGGAGACTACAAGTATAATAGCCATCTATCTCAGGATAAGTAAGCCATGTAGTATTTATTACTGTTAAGCAGAAGATACATATTAAATTGTCATTTACTTTTATTTGTTACCACTGAACAGGTCTCTCTTGAAAATGAGACCTTGTGTCTCAATGATATTTTACACCTGTATAAATAAAGGCTAAACAAAATGTGTGTTGCCCCGAAATATCTTTGTAAACCAATAATTCAATAAAAGCAAAAAGAAATGTATTGTGTGCTGGTCTTGTGTCCTACAGAATATGTGTTCGTCATACAGAATTAGAAACCACTGCATCATCTACAATTTGACAAACAATGTTATATTAATGCAGAAGTCCTATTATAAACTAATTCCTTTTTAAATAACTGCACATAAGTCTGTTAAATAATGTATTTATTGAAAAAACATAAGTAATTCCACACTGTTTTGCAACAGAACAACAATGAAAACACAACTGACAGTAGATAATGACTGTTGCATGTTGACGTAATGAATGCCAGTTCTGGTGTTAAACTCTATATTGAGGATATTGCTGAAAACGTTATGCTGAGCAGTTTTAAGAATCCATGAAAACCACACGTTAATATTGCAGTTGTTAACATTAAATTCTGAGAAAACATCCAGTAATTCAATCAACGTTTTCACTGGCTGGGCTTGTCATCAACGGGTTGTTCCTCCCACATGGGTTCTTTGATGTGATCTGGAACCTTCTCCATGGCTGTCTGATAACAACAGCAAAGGGAAAAAACACATGAATTCAGGCTGTTTGAATGCAGCATTAGATTGAGCAGGTAGGATAGTTGCTTACCTTTGTCACCTCCATGGCTACACCTTCAGGGAGGTTCCTCTGGATGTATTCAAGGTAAACCTGTGCTGTGCAGCCAGTTATATGAGACAGCTACAAAACAAGAGAAGGGACATCTTAGATATAAAGAAAAACACAAGTCCACAGAAATAATAAATTGAAGCAGTAATTGTTAAAAATAATTAACCGTATTTAAGGCTTTGGCCATCACAACCCTCAGTGAAGTTCCTGCCCTGATCACAAACTATTTTGAAGTTTTAATAACCATCGACTAATTGAATAAAACAAACATAATTAGCCCTGTTCAGGATCATCACCTCGATGCACCGGTAGTGCGTCCTCATCTCATACTGGACTCTGTGATTTTTGAAGATGTGAATCGACTTCAGGAGCGTCAATCTCTCCATGTCCTTGGGAGGTTCGTAACTGTGGCAGAAGAACAAAAGTTCATCAAAAAAGGTCTTCAGTAAAGATTTTAGTAGCTTAAAAAAAGGTATCGGGAGGCTACTCACACTTTGTTTTGGGTGATGCCCAGCTCATTGGCTGCCATGGTGGCGAATATCTCATAGCTGTCCAACACGGCTCTGTCATGACCTTTGACCAGCACCGACACCCTCTGAAACAGTGAGTCAGGCTCTTCTGTGACAGTGATCTGCAGGGAAACAAATGAAAACACAATAAATGCATATGATCTGTCTTTTTTGTATTATTTCAACCTTGAGCAGTTTAAAAAAAACAGTCTAAGATGATTGCATTTTTACTGATAACTCACTGGTGAAGGTGTTGATGGAAGCACTGTAGCTGTGTGGAAGGAAGTGCTGGGTGCTAATGGTAGAAGAGACCTGCAGCAACAAAACAGTAATTCACATTTAACACGTCCTACCACATTCAAGTAGATAATGCAGGTCTAGAACATACATAATGTTATTTAAAAAATCTGATAGTGATGTGGATCAAAACATTTGCACATAAGGAAATTATTCAGATATTCAAAAGATTGAAAACTTAAATGTCACTGTAAACATAGCAATAAAACAGATAACAGGGCAGGGGGGTCTTGTAATGCCTAGTTGGTGTACTTTGCAGACAACAGCTCTAATGCGAGGTCCAGGTTTATTGCAGTTAATAATAAACTGCGTAGACAACAAACGAGTGAAGAAGTGAAATTGCAGCTTACCTTATTTTATAGCATTTTATGTGAGGTGAACAGGCACCCAAAGCTCTCGGTCCCTGTAAATACACTTACATTAGTAAACATCTAGAAATGACATTTACTGTACAACCGACCCACCATGCTACAACGGCTGTCAGGGACCAAACTGTGAGATGTAATAGCTCCTTCTCAAACAGATGTTAGTTCATTGTTCGTAGGTGTTGTACAAATAGAAATATATTCGTTTCTTACCAAATGTGAGACTCTGCTAAGAACTCTTCCAAGAGAAATAATTCTCGTCTGAGAGCCATGGGAGCAGCCATGTTTTTGGAGAAGGTGGAACAGAAGGGAAACTAGCTCTCCCCCGTGCTGCCCTCCTGTGTTCCGGAGTGGGATCTGTGACAATGTTCACATATAAATACCGTTTTTATAGTCTTACAAATTCCATTGCAGGGTGTCTAGAGAAATGTATATACTGATTTAAACATTTGCTAGCTTGGATATTGTACTTCCAAAAACCACAGCAGACTAACAAATTGAAATGTATCATATCACATTCCAAAAAAGAAGTCAAAAAGAAAAAAAGTCCATCATTTTCAATATTAAAACCTTAAATTATGTTTATGATTGAAAGGAAATAATTTGGCTATTAACTTGAAAGAAGATATGATGGACATGTATAATTTACCATAGGCAGGTAGCAAGGAAATGAAAACAATCAGATACACCAAAACTAAATTCATTATTGTCTACACTAGAACATATCACCTTGCAATCAATTATTAAAACAAATGTTCTACATGAAATTACCCAACTGTTTAAATGGGAAATTGCTTCATTTTAAGCATTACTATTGTCGTTGTTTGCAACAATACGTGATAATAAGCCATTGCTTCAGAAATAATACTTGTTAAACACATTTGTAGACAGGTTTTAACTGATCAATGCTACCTAAATTATTTATATAGCTTTACAACCATGTCCATTATTCTTTCATCCTGATATTTAAGATTACATTAAAGTTAGACAACTCCAGTTGTTGATGAGAACTCTGATGATCTAATTGGTCTAAATCACGTTCCTGTCACGTGACCCAGCTGTCGGGCCCTGCCAGTGTACAGTAGCGGCTGCAGGCAGAGGAAGAAGCGGCAGCAACAGAGGTAAGCACTCCACTGGTTATTGAGGTTCTCCGGCTTAGTTGACGGCAGGTCTGACATTACTTTTCGGTTGTGCCCACTGCGACACTGACATGCTTGTATCATTAAAAACGACGTGCTAACATTGAAAACAACGTTGGCATAAACACTCGGCTAACGTGCTAGCCGTAGCCAGTTAGCGACGAGTTGCCAGCGGCGGATGGACAGAGCCAGTCTCCGCTGATGGTGGTTCAGGTTCAGCTAGCTAGCTGCTCGGTTAGCCTCTTAGCTATCACTGTCTGGCTGTTCTTTGTGGAGGAGACAACAACACAGGCTGCTGCATTCGCGAGCATCTCGGCTGGCTAGATCAGCGTCACTGCACAAAGAAGGTACATTAAAACGGAGGAGATGAATTCCGCTGCTGACATGTTTTGATCCGTGAAAGCCCACACATCCCTCTGTTTGGATCCACCAACACCCAGGATCTAGCTATCTGTAGCTAGCAGGCAGCTCTCGGCGATGGGTGTTTGGCTTGTTTTGGCATCATTTCACGGGCTTCACCATTAACGTTGTTTTTAATGTCAGTTACTAACGATAGTATCTATGGATATGTCATCAACGTTAGGCTACACCTAACTGGCAACTGTATATCTTTTGATGGAGGAAAATGTCCCTCTGTCACATCACCTGTCTATAATCCAGTGTTCGTTTTATGTGTGTATGCTATTATTTCTAACTCTGAGAATGTACCTAATTCAAATATCGATTATAGTCTGGCTGGCACACCAGATGTCCATTGGGTTTCATTTTACTGTCAGATGAGAGTCATGAGCATCGTGAATCGAGACGCCCATTCCTCTGTCGGATCTTGTTAGATTGCTATTAAAATCACTGTCTAATTTAGTTTTCTCCCCCTCTTTTATGACATTGTTTTCGTGTTTAATTGTGGCTTTAGTACATCAGTGTAACTCGTCGAGTATAACAGCTAAAGCTAAAATTATACACGATTATCCTGAATTATTCACCAATCAGTTAAATATTCTTCCGCTACGGTGAATAGTCAACTAAATTGATAAGTAACGGTAAGTGAGAGGTAATTTTAGCCTAGCGCATTAATATTTAAATTACGGCTGTGGGAGTCAGGTGATTGCTTCCAATGATTACACTGTTGCACCGTCGACTTGTACGCTTTATTTAAATAAAAAACAGCAATACAAAATATAACACTTGTTTATTTGGTAGCGACATTGTCTGTATGATAATGACATCCTTTTTTTTTAGTTTCCAGCAGTCCTCCATGGGATCCCCGAGGCGGGTTGAAAAGGCAGATTGGCTGACGTGATGACGTTCCCGGGAGAAGCGGCTCTCCTGAGGGCTGACAGCTGATGGAGTCCCCGCTCCTCCTCTCGCACACGGCCGGGGTCGTATGAGGAGGACACGGAGCCCTGAAATGACACACTGAATTGGACAGAAACGTTAATAACATCAACTGGGAGAAGCGCTGGGACGTGTTGAGGGGAATGGGTGCATCTCCTGCTGATGAGTTTACAAGACAACGATATTTTTTGGATGTTTGTTTTTGATTAGCTGACATTCAGTGGAATTTCAAATAAGTTTCCGGTACTGTCATCTTATGCCTTGTCATTGAAACATCATCAACAAGGTAGCTCACTGATCTAACACATCACAATGACTTGAATGAGTGCCTTTTGCAGCCCATGATATCTTTAACCCAGCATCGCTAAAGTCCACAGTTTTGTGACCTCATTTATACTTTTAGGGAAGTGTTCACTGGTCACCTCTTAATCAGTATTGCAAATCACCGAGATAGCCGAGAGAAAGCGCACGTATTATGCACCGTTGTCGCTGTCTCACATCCAACACCGAACCAGTAACCTCAGGGGAGGAGAGGCGCTCATAACGGTACCGACCCCACCCGAAAACCTCCCTCTGGGTATTCTTTTTTCAAATATCCACGGGGTAGAATACAGCTGCTGGCATGTTCGCCGCCGTAGAGCATGGCCCGGTCCTCTGCAGCGACTCCAACATCCTGTGCCTGTCCTGGAAGGGCCGGGTGCCGAAGAGCGAGAAGGAGAAGCCGGTGTGCAGGAAGCGTTACTACGAGGAGGGCTGGCTCGCTACCGGGAACGGTCGAGGAGTGGTCGGGGTCACGTTTACGTCCAGCCACTGCAGACGGGACCGGCCCACCCCGCAGAGAGTCAACTTCAACCTCAGAGGACACAACAGCGAGGTAAGACACCGTAAATGCATATTAGGTTATTCCTACTAAATTGAACTTACTGATATTTGAATTGAAAAGGTATAAAAACAACACATATTGTTTCAAGGATTGTAGAGTTACAAAGTGGCCCTCTGACAATAATTATTTCAATATATACCTCACTATCAAGTTATTTCATCTCAATGATGCTCTTGAGTGTGATGATCTTATTGTGTTTACAGGAAAATATACACAGATCTAATAAAATATATTATAGCACATACTAAAAAATACCCTTAAAAAATATCTTGTATACCATGATGTCGCACTTGAGTAATAAGTAACTTAACACATCCGCCCTTCTTCTAATTAAAAGTGTCCTCTACACTTTTTAAAGACTACTTCAGCATCTCCCTATTTATGCATTTTGGTCATTGTTCCCTTTTCCCAGCTGCAGAGTCAGGTGCAGAAGAATGTCCTTAAAGTTACTGTTCTTTTGTGCTTATTGAGGGCATGTTTGGCAACAAGTGTACAGTATAATCTAGCACAAAGATGGTGCACTTTAGTTGAAGAGTGACTCACCCTGTCTGTGCCATGGCATGCTGAGAGTTTCAAGTCTTATCACAACAGATGATTTAACAGTTTACAACGATGGAGTAATCTGGGAAATTGTGTAGTGTTTGATTGGAAGTAAGACCTTCCTGCTCTCAGTGGCTCTCTGTTTGGCATCACTTGATCTACCCGCTGCTTTTAGTCACAACATTACCATGCTCAACCCTCTGGCATTGCTCTTATCTCTCATCATGGTAATACCCTTCCAAAGTTTCCTAACACTAGTGCACTCAGGCCATTTATTGTCATTGGAAAGATCACTTGATGTAGAGTTCTTTTGCCCGACATGTATTTGAATATTCCTGTCATTATATAGCAGTGCTGGCACAAGTGGAGACTGCACACAGGTTGCGTATTCTCGTTTAGTGGGTGGAGCAGTTGGTCAGATGGAGCAAGGTGCTGTGTCAGCATTCCATAAGGCAGCTGAAGGGAGAGTGGATGAATCCCCACAGAGAGTGACTGAAGCGCAGCAGAAATGTCATTTAACTCTGCCCACTTGAATGTGGTCCAAGTACTGACATTTTCCTTTTGTTATTTTGGTGCATGCAGTGTGGAGGACATGACACCTACATCATTTAAATTGACCCACTTTGTTGTTATGTGTATTTGACTTTATCCACCTATTGGGGCTGATTCAAATGAATGATGACACAATATATTTTGTGTATTAAAGTTATAGATGACGCGTTGCTGACAGAATTATGGATATTGCTGTTTAAATGCAGCTATACTGCAATAATACTGAAAACAAGGACAAATTGGAGCTGCTTGTGCATTTTTTCTTTTCTTTAATTAAGACCTTTTTATAATTTCCCTCTTATTCATTCAACCAAGTCCTAGAAAAGCAAATATCAGAATGTTTTGTATTTTTTGCATCCATCAAGATGCTTTTACAGTGGCTTTAAACACAGATGCAACTGGGAGAGAAAAGCACATTCCAACACCTCCCTTTAACCTCATACTGAAAGAAGTAATGCCCTTTCTACCTCCACTCTAGATTTGATGTAAAGCAATCAATAAATGCTTTAGGAATTGCGAAATCCACCACTTGTCCACCCTATGCATAATTTGGAGTTTCTGACAGTGGTGGAAATCACACTGCCTAATGCATTTTGTGGAGTTATGACAGATCGGTTCACTCACCCACATTATTTTCTATTCCAGTTCTGATGAGGAGAGGACAGATTGCTGTGTCCAATTAACAGTCCAACAACAAGGACGTTAACCCCTAGAAATGAATACATTTATATTTTGTTAGTCCTGTCTAGGTATTAAAAATTAGTTTTTAGATTAAAGCGCTATGTCATACATTTGAATAACCTTTCCCTGTATGTTAAAGTGGCCCACTCTTCAGACACGTCACATGCCATCCCTGTCCTTTAAACGTCAGCCCTGTCTTTGAACATTTGTCGTCGTTGGTGACGACGAGTGTCACGTAAATTGGCTAAAAACATGTTATGAATGACTGCACCGACAACAATGCAACATGAACTCATCCTTTAGGATTTTGGTCCTGCCAAGATCGATACTCACGCCAGCATCCTTAAGTTGATCCATTGTTCCTGTTGACGTATCAGACCTGTGATCATTCTAATGTAATCGAGCTTCTGAACAGACGTGTCTTTTGGACATGGCCCAAAACGGGCAGTGTGGTAAAGAACAGGGAAGATTTTGAGCTGTAGGACATCTGTTAGGAGTGTTTGACTCTCACATAGTTTCACCATTGTTTGCCACACATCAGAGGCTCTGATTGGTTCTCTTTCTGGGGAAATGGCCTTTCCCAAGACCCACATAATACTTATTGGAGTCACCCGATTAAGGTTAAGATGCAGGCTTTAGATTGATCAAACCAGTATGTATACATTCATTTAAAGTGGCCCCTTGTAGAGAGTTATTTGATTGGTCTTGTAGGTGTTTTGTTATTGGCCGATTGAAACATGCCCTCTGATTGATCCAATACCTTTCAAATACTAACTCATCTGCTCCAGTGTTAAGACGAGGACAGACAGGGAGAGGACTGTAATACTGTAAGGTGTACTGCCTCTCCCTGGGGAAAAGGGTTTGATTTGCACTTCGGTCACCCTTTATCCTCAAGATAAAACACAGCTTGTGTTGTGGTCAATTTCAGCTGTTTTCCTGCTGTTTTTCCTATTCTGGAGGCTCTAATGATCTTCTTCAGATAATGAGAAGGCCTGTTGTAAATCTCTGATGTAGGTTTACAGACGTCACATGCCTCTTCAGCTAGGTTGAGAGAGATAATTACAAGGTAACAGCTTCAAAGGGATGAAGGTGTGTGTGGTGCCAATGCTCCTTTTGTTGTCTCCCACCGCCATCTTTTCACAATGGGCGTCATGAGAAAGCTACTTTGTATCCAATGTTTTTTGTTTTTCATTGAGCTTGGTTGCTTAGCAGAAATGCTCAGGCACTCTTTACGCTTTCACTTCAGCATATTGTGTTATGATATAATAAACGTACACACATTATTTTGAGTGATGCCACAGTCAGTAACATTTTCCACCGCTTAGTAAAAAATAATGAAGACTTTTGAAATCTTCATCCCTATATCTTGGAGCCAAATGTAAGGTCTTCTAATAGCTATCGTTTTTTGACCAGCCATCCCAACCCCACCAACATTCAGAGGACAATGATGTAAAACAGAGGAAATGTACGTTGGAATAACCAGTTAATATTTGTGATTTAGCTTGGAAATTTGACTGAAGCCATTTATGTAAAGCGTCTTTGAGCATTAGGAAAAGCGCTATAAAAATCCAATGTTTTATTATTATTATTGTTAATTTGAGTTATCAAACGGGTTGATTAGTTTTCTGTTGATCAATTAATCAACTAATATGTTCCCTTTTTCTGGAAGAGAGTTTTTTTCAACATTATGGCTGCTACCAAAGTATACAACTTAAAATAAACCAACAAGACAAAGTATAAAAAGGTTATTAAAAGAACATTTGTCCTTAAATGACCTGATGCTATTTTTATAAACCGATACTAACCTCAAGCAGCAGGCACATCAGTTGCATTACATTTAGAACAAAACATGAAAAATAGATGAAAGCAACACGTTTTGCATCTTTCTATGTGTCTATACTTCTGAAGCTGCACTGTAATCCCTCTGGGACATGCATCAGAATAGATCAGCGCGTTTTATACGTTAGTATTGCACTCCGATGCTGAACAGACTGAGCAGATACTCACTGGGAGTCCAATCATTCACCACGAGAGATGAACATCAGAGACAGGCTTGACAATGACTGTCAGCATGTTGACGAGGAGATGTTGGGCGCAACTCAGAGTTTGGGAGAATCGTCCGTCAGAATCCTGTCAACTGCTAGCTGTGCCCTTTGTCTACGGTACAATCATACATGCTTTAAGTACTTTTATTTCCAGTGAAAATATCCACAATACTGTCCATTGTAGATTCAGGTTGGTCTAGTCTGTGTCTTATTTATTTAAGATCCTTCCCATTGCTGCAACATCATTGGCATTCAGGTGCATCTTTGTTAAAGTTTAAGTTCCTTTGCTGCATTAAACAGTCGGTGCTCCAAGTTAGAAAGTAAGTGCAATTTACATTTCTCAAGCATGTACGCTGAGAGAGAAAGTAGAACATTAAGCGAGAATCTCAAGGGAAGATGTTGTGACTTTCGTTGCTAAAAATATGCATCCTTTTAAAGTCCTCAGCACAATGTCATTCTGTTTATGATTTTTTGCAACTGAAACTGCTTTAAAGTTATGTATGGAAAGATTTGTTTGACTACTGAAGTTAAAAACATGCATTCATACACACCTCGCTACCATTTCCATGAGTCCGATGGGTGGGTTATTCCCCCGAGGCAGAAGTCCTTTGAGGCCTGATCCAGGCTCTTCGCTAGAGCAGGTGTCTAAGGACCTAATCCAAAAGAGAAGAGAGACCCAAGGGCACGTACTCATGTTTACCACTTCACCATGTAGGTTCAACTCACACTGGGACTTATTTGATCTGTTGTGCAGTGTGACATTTTCATGCATTAAAATTGTCATAAATAAATGAGTTGATATCTCTCGTACTGTAGATCGCACGTGCAAAATTCCGCACTGATTTGGGAGCTGTACTGTTCTTTTTAAATGGTGAAGATGATGACTTATGTGGTGCAGAGCAACTAACTCGTCTGTTCAGACATAACGGGGACCATAATAATACATTGCTAGACAGGGACAATGCAGCTTCATTTTTCCTGCAATAAGGCCGAAAGTTTTGTAGCAGGATAGTTGTAAGAAAGTCATCACTTCTAATGGGGTTACTGCGGCCTCAGAGTTTTGTGTCATTCACCTCTGCTTCCATCTCCACCTGCTTCATTTTCTAATGAGTTCCACCACAGCTCTCCATCCTCCTATCATGTTCTTCTCTGCCTTTACACATCTTCCTTAAA